CAAGAAGGTTGTTGGTCTTCTCTTGTTTGGATATAATTAGATGAAAATTATTATACCTTTATATACATACAATTCCAATAAGAGATCTGACAAAAGTAGAATATAGGTAAAGTAGACCAATAACACCTTTAAATATAGTTAATATTTAGAGCCAAAATGTTTCAATTCCATATTTTCAAGGAATAGTAACAATACAATAAACAACGATATGACGTCATGATATTGTCTTAGGGAGATGTGTTATGATGGAATTACACTTATGGAATGAAGAAAATAATCTAACAGACTGGCTGGACATTTTGTTACTTATGGATAAAGGTTTGTTGAAAAACCACAGTGGCAAATTATTGGATGATCATCCAATTGATGACAACGAAGTGGGTAATGATAATGATGTTGTGGAGATAGACGACGATGCAGCTGATGCAATTACAAGAAGTGTAACAAGAACTTTAAAGAAAAAGCCTTGGACAGAAGAATTTGCAAATATATCTTTACAAAACATTTATGTTTCCCCTACTCCTAATATTTGCGCCGAATCTGTACTTATTACGCTATTGGTGATAGCAGCCATAAGAAGGTACCCCCTTCTGGATTTGTATTCTATTATCATATCATTAATAGACGCAATATGAAAGGCATTCATGAAGCCATGGCGGTGGCTTTCCAGAGTAGACAGAATGGATAAAAGAAAATCCTTCAGCGTCCGAAATTTTGAAAGAATACCCTAGCTAGATATATTGATACTCCTAAAATGATAAGTATTTCTTATATTCTTGAGGTATTTCACAATACTCTTATTTATGGAATATTTAATTTTCCTAGAAAATTTAACGAGTAGTAGAATTACAAAATGTTTTAAATTTTACATTGATGAAAAACGCCATTGAATTTAATATTTTTAAAGTATTAATGATTTTTTTGTAATTATTTACAATATTTGTTATATTAATAACCCTTGTATGTCGTCCTCATATGTGGACATTATTTAAATAACATGAATAGTTAATAGTATGAAGATAAAGTGTAAAACATAAAAAAATAAAATAAGCCATAAAGACAAAGAAAATATATATTTTATATTTTAAAAGGAGAAATCACTGAAAACAATTTATAACGTTCCACTGAAAAAAAGTCCACTGAAAATGTCCACACGCAATAAAACGTCAAAAGAATTCACTGAAAGTTGTGAAAAATATACACTGAAAATAATTGGTTAAGGCAACAAAGAGAGCGTCTATGATATGAGGTCGATGGTGAATTATAGAGCTAAGGGTTTTCCTCATCATCGACCTCAACTTAAACTGATTCCCGTGACGGAAGCTGTGTAGGCACATATTCTTGGGTGTAGATGGTTTCATCGCGAACTATTGAGTGAGGTGTACTTTTAGTCTTGGTAAGTTGGGGTGACTTCGATTGAACCTCTGTGGTCGAGCTAGAGTTTGTGGAGAAATGACGTAATTATCTTCAGCGAGCAAGCCGAGTGAGGGTCGCAATCGAATTTTATCGAGTTAAGGCAATATGGCGGGACTTTTGACCATATATAGACATTCCATGCTACCATGTTAACTCGTGTTTGACTCTCCAAATAGTGAGTGTTGAACCCGAGCTTCTAACCAAGTTAAATATTACGTCACACGAGTCTCAACTCTACAAAATATTAAAGTTCGGTTGTGTCTAACCCGGGCTCCAATCGAAGTCACCCTTGGATTTTGGTTAGCAAATATCAAGTCCTATATTAGTTCAGTAAACGTTAAGTAAAAAATAAATGTCTCATGTTTTATGTATAAACGTAATCGACAGTTATTGTATAATATTATAACGATGCTAATGAAATAAACTTCACTCGATCTAGCTAAAATGGTATAGCGAATAGTCATGGTTCAATACCACTGGTAAGTCATTGACTATACAACCGATTTATTTACATGTGAAAGTCATTTCCGTAATAGAATACTTGTTTTTCTTTTCTTTTTAAACTTCCACCCCTGTATATGAATGAGAAAGTAATATAGATTGTATAACTTATATCAAATATATTATAATCTTAAACTAAAATGGCGATAGTTGTGTTACTGATAGGAATATTAACTCAAACAATATTAGGTATGTTATATATCTTATTATAATCATATAGTACATATAATCATATGTTGTATAATCATAATTTATTCATTATAGCTTCAATTATTCATTGTGTTAATGTATAAATACTAATAAACCGAATCTTAGAGGTCCAATGTGAAATACTAT